GTTTGACATCTTTGATACAAGTAACGAGTTCACTTCCAAGTGAACAACCCGATAGTCTTCTTCTTATCATAGCATACCAACCAGCGAACACCCAGCCAAGTTTAGTTAGCCAGTTTGAGTATTCGTTACAAAACAACCCGGCGCATCTGTACTTCTTACCCGCATACCAACCGTCGAAACGATTACCTTTGTCAGATAGTTTGAGTTTCGTCACACTAGGCTAGATAAGTTATCGACTTTTATTCTAGGTTTTATAAAGCTTATTATATTCTTTAATAATTAGATATTATATAAGTTATATATACAAGAGAGGAGGTATAAGTACTATTACTATAAAAAGTAGGCGCTACTACTTTCTATAAGCTTATAGAGACTTATAGAGTTAAGGTATTCTCTCTCTCTCTCTTTAAGATTAACCAGTATTTAATAATACTTAGTATAAGTTTAGAGGACTCTTCTATTAATAAAGACTACTAAGTCTATCTTAATAATCGCTTTACTAGTTATAAGTAAATAGAATAGATATTATAAGAAGAGTTAGTTAAACCTCTACCGGATATTAATATACTAAGGACTTAGTAGTAATAAGCTACTAACTTTTATTTATAAGGTATATTAATAAAAGATATAAAGATTACTTTATAACTAAAACCTATTGTTAATCCTACTTCCCTATTACCTAAATACTATTATCGCTACCTATTACTTTTTAACTAGGATACTACTAATATTTTACTTCTATACTAGGACTATAATCTTTATGTTAAGCTAAAACCGGGAAGGACTCTATTATATAGTAAGCTTTATAATACATCTAAACTAGAGCTTCTTGTTTTAAGGAATTATCTAAAGAAGTAACTTAATAAAAGCTTTATTTAAGTAAGTACGTCTCCTATTACTTTACTAGTACTATTTACTAAGAAGCTTAGTAGTAGTCTTTACTTTTATATAGACTATTATCTTTTAAATAATATTACTATTAAAAACTAGTATTCTATTCTACTAATTTAAGAGACCCTTTAACGCTTAAGTAAAGTATAGTACTTTATAAAGCTTAATATTATTACTACATTTAATTATATTTATATAAAAGAAGGTAATAAATAGCTTACTACCTTTAATACTTAGTGTAGCTTATTTAAGTCTCTTATAGTTTTTTTTAGCCTTACTAATATACTTACTACTTTTTAAGCTTAAATAAACAAGGTTCTTTATCTATTCTTAGATATATTTTATATAGTATTAGTTTAACTTTATTATTAAATATAAGGTATAATATAGGAAGAGGCTAAACCTTAGTATTAGACTATTCCTAT